TTCCCACGGGAAAAACAGAAGACTATGTGGAAATTAGCGTTGAAATATTAAATAATCTCACGAAATATCTCCGTTTTGGCAATTTGCTTGTCGGACCGCGTTATAGATATTATAGACTCGCCCGGGTAAAGGTAATTAGGTCGTCACTCGGAACTCGTCTCGAGAGCGAGACACTCCGACCGGAATTCACAGTTGGACCCGAATCGTTCGGGTAAATCGCGATTGCAGATATAGCGTGGCATGTGTCGCACGATTGAACCAAAAAACCCAGATTCAACTTCGAATGCTGGTCCGAGTGCCTCTGACTGACCTGACCCGAGGCAAATTTCAGGCAATGACCATCGATAGGAGGAGGTCTTGGTTCTCGCTGATTAGGTTCTGTGTGCGACTCGAGTGAAACCAGCGGTCGATTCGTCTCGTCACGTCCAACTAGCGTCACTTCGGGATTGTCAGATTCTCAACGTTGCGTTCGCACAAACAAACAGCCGTCAGCGAGATTTTGAATTCCGCCGAAGTCGAAGTGCGCCGAGTCTTCTGTGTTATACCGGGTGTTTCAGACCACCCGGGTCACCCGATTTTTTTGTTAACGCGACATTTTAGAGAAAAATATGATATTTCAGACAAAAGTTGTAGGGCTTCAAAGGATCTATTTACTGACGTTATGAATTTGACTTTGGGATAACCTTGAAAGGTCCAGTCAAGATCAACATAAAAATCTTAAATGGATACCCCAATATTACATCATCTTTCTCTAGCAATTCATTTGAACAACTTATGTCTGAAACATTTTTTTATTTACCTAATACTTTGTGAATTATTTAAGGAAAACTTGATAACTTTTTCAATTAACTCACGATATCTTCGCTATTTGTCAGAAGAAAAAGTGGTACTAGACTTTTTTGCTCTATTTAGTCTCAAGAATATATTTTTACAATACCGCCCTGATTTTTGTTAACTTGTTGACTTTTTGAAATTTCAAAATCATCAAATTAACCAAATTCAGGGCGCTATTGGAACAATATATTCTTGAGATTAAATAGAGCAAAAGAGTCTAGTACCACTTTTTCTTCTGACAAATAGCGAGATATCGTGAGTTAATTGAACAAGTTATCAAGTTTTCCTTAAATAATTAAAAATATATTAGGTAAATAAAAAAAGATTTCAAATAAAAATTGTACAAATTAATTGCTAGAAAAAGATGATGTAATAAAAAAATTGGGGTATCCATTTAAGATTTTTATGTTGATCTTGACTGAAACTTTTCAAGGTTATCCCAAGGTCAAATTCATAGCGTCAGTAAATAGATCCCTTGAAGCCCTACAACTTTTGTTTGAAATATTTTTCTCTAAAATATCGCGTTAACGAAAGAATCGGGTGACTCGGGTGGTCTGAAACACCCGGGATATTCTACGTGACGTATGTTTTGCGCAGCTCCGACGTCGCTGATGAACGCCGTCGTCGTCCTCGTAGTGGCAAGTGGAAACTTGGACGTTTCGAAAACGGTCGACACGAACCCTCCGCCCATCATGAGAAGTCCATCCTCGCGCACTTCCGGTTTACAAGGACGTGGATGGAGTTGCCGCCCGTGATGAATTCTCACGCGAGTCCTTTGCAACGCTAGGACTAACGGTCCTTAACGATCTGTTTTCGTCAAAACTGTCGAAACGAAAGGTTTTTGAAGAAAAGACGAGCTAATGTTAAGAAATGTCACGAAATATTAAATAAACATCCAGCAGATAAAATAATGAGCGTCCGAGAGAATGTAATAACAAACGTAAAAATATTTATTTCTTCTTTTCAGTCTTTTATTCAACGTGAATTGAAAATATAAGACTCACCGTTATTTGATAATTAAAATTCTGATAAGAAATTACAAACCGGTCGTTATGACCGCTTTGGTAATTCTGACGTTAAAATATTTATTGCGATAACATTTGTTAACATATTTATTATGATAACATATGTTAACATCAATGATATTTGTTATGAAGTTGTCTCTTAACTATCGCGGGAAAGGATTCTCTGCTTCACGCGGGTTAACGCGGCTTTTTCTTGGCGCGGTAATAAATTTCTATCGTGAGCTTTGCCGGATAATAAATGCAATTAATGAGCATATTACGGTAACACGCTGATTTCAGAACGGCGCCGGCAACACGAAGCTTACCAATGTCGCTGAGATAGTCAACTTGTTAAGTTCAGGTAAAACTTCGCGACCCTTGAACTCCCGCGAGTTCGCGTTTCGGACGAGTGCCCGAGTATTCGCGAGCTTCTCCAACTTTGTCATATAAATTTCCACTCCGCTAGAGTCGACTAATTTTTCTGTTTTCCTTCCGCAATCGGCGACATTTTCATGTCCGATGTGAACCGGACGCGCGGGAACGGATCTCCGAGCGGTTTGTCCTTCGCCGTTTCCCACCTTCGGTTCTCTCCATCTGGTGCGATCGCGTACATCAGCGAAATTGCGTTGACAGCCGGCCGAAATGACGAAACTACGAAGGGAAGCCCGATATGCAAAACGTTTAAAACATCGTCTCGGCGCGAGAGCAATTGATACGACGTCGTACACATAGAAAAATAGAGCCGCATCTAAAACGTCGGGCAACCGAGCTCTCTCTCTCTCTCTCTCTCTCTCTCTCTCTCTCTCTCTCTCTCTCTCTCTCTCTCTCTCTCTCTCTCTCTCTCACTCTCTCTCTCTCTCACTCTCTCTCTCTCTCTCTCTCTCTCACTCTCTCTCTCTCTCTCTCTCTCTCTCTCTCACTCTCACTCTCACTCTCACTCTCACTCTCACTCACCCACCGAAATTATACCGGTGCTGGGTGTGATCCTCGCTCCGTGATCCTCCGTCGCCTTCCTCGTCCAATATTTGCCGACGTCGTTCGTCGCGTTCGCGCGCTTCTATTCGAAACTCGAGATCTCGAATCTCGACGATGCAGCGACAGATCATCGTCTCGACGTCGTGAATTGGAAGGATTTTAATGAACCCAACAGCCCGAACGGACGTCTCGTCGTGAGGTGTGCGGGTTGGGAGCGTGAAGGGTGGGGGAGAGATGACTTGTCAGAAATTGCAAGGTTGCTTCGGCGGCTTGACCTGCGCTTGACGGAACTACACTAATTAACGTCTTCGCGCGGGTGGTCCGTGCGAACTGCGCGCGTTCGCACAATCGTTTTCGATGCTCTTCCTCTTTTGAACTCCGTCTACCCAATTGTCCCGTTTCTCTCTCTCTTTTCCTCTCTCGCTACGGCTATATCTTTGGAGCAATTATCCGAGAGCGGACGGAGGCGCTTGATTACGCCGGCGTTAGATCGAGCCGGGCAGCATCCTCTTAGCATTTCATCAACGGGACGACGGGAGTTAATATACGCGTCTCGAAGAAGAGGAGTCTAGGTCGAGGACCAATCAGCGGGATCGTCGGCGTACAGGGTGTTTCCAGTCGCCGCGGGAAATGAGAGAGAAATGAAGCCTGAAAAATGCATCAGAGGCACCCGGAAGTAATCGAGTGTTTGCACGGAGGGAAGAAGTTGAGTTAAATTATTAATTTATTTACTCGTTGACTTATTTGAATCGGATTAAATTATTTATTATTTCGGTTGAAGCAGATCGAAGTTTTCTGGCTCTTAGTACCGAATTTGGTTCATAAGAATCAGGAGCTCTCTTTGTCTTTTTTTCTTTTTGAAATGCTGCGTTCGATCGCTGACACATTAATTCCACACCAAAGTTATTTTTATCTATGTGAGCATTTAACTTATTATATTATTGATTGAACAATGCGATTCGTAGACTTCTGACAGTCGATAATCAAGAAGCGATACCTTTTCAAGACGGCCATTTACTGATTTTTCTTTCAGCGAATTCAGAATCCTTTTCCTCGACTTGTTGAAAACGTTTTACATTTTTGTTCAAAATTTACGAAAATTAAGGAATACGGAAGGAACTCAATAACGAGCTGACAGAGCAAAGTGGATTTTCGAAACAGCCTCTTGTTTCCCCTGAAGACTTGCAATTTTGCTCGTACAGTCGGCTGATTAAAAGTTGCGGCACTTTTCGTCGACGAGTTTCGTGACGCATTTCATATCTAACAGGAAAATGGATCTCTTGAGAGTTACTGAAAAACAAATTCGCTCTTTGAATAAGAGATACGTTTGGAAACTCGTCGAAAATGCGTTGCAATTTTGTATTAGCCGGCTGTATATCAATGTTGATAGATTTATCTTATTTCGAAACACTTGATTACTTACGGATAATTCCCTCCTCCTGATGCACCTTACAACGATGAGGAAATTTACAACAGAAATTAAATAATTCTAATCCCGTCGTTAAGACGATCCTACAGCAGAGTTTCCCCAAGCTGACGAATGGAAGCCAGCCGGCTGGCGCTTTGAGATGGAAAATTTGGTTGGCAGACTTTACTGTCGCAAAGTAACTCGTTACCGTTATCGTTCCTCAACAGCTAACAAATTGCAATTCCCGCTATTCTTCTCATCAAGTTTCGAATCCCTTTTCATTTGATGTCTCGTTCCTGCGCACTCCTGATCCGTATTCCATCCGCGCAAAGTATGAAAGCAACGATTGTACTCGCGACCGTGAAAATAACGATTACACTCGTGATTAAAAAAAAAAAATGTTGCGTCAGCGTTGGCGTCACTAATGAGAAGGAAGAATAACACTGCTCCCAGGTGGTTACCGAAGAAAAACAACCTGCGACGGTGCGTGCATCCTCCGTCAGGAGAAGATTCTTAAGTCAGGCGTCGCGACTTCTCTCGCGCCCCCCCCCCCCGCTCATTCGCGAGCAGCGCGAAGTATTTGTTCACCTTCACTCCGGCCCCGGTATACCTTCGACCCCGTTCCCTGCCGCCCCCGCTCGCGTGCGCGCGAGCCGACATACAGCTCGACAGCCAATTAATGTATAACGCTTGTATTTATTTACAAAAACGACGAGCAGCCACTCGCGCTTCTCGTACTCGCCCGTCCGTTCGCTCGCTCGCAAATAGTGTACTACATATTACGTGTTATATTTACACAGCCCCTCTCTCTCCGCTTTATTATGCTATATGGTACATTTATTATACAGGCGGTCTCTCTCTCTCTCTTTCGCGCGCGATGGATCGTATCGATAAAAAGCCGCGAGCGCGCGGCAGCCTCGCGGCGAGGCTTGGAAAATTTGCCGCCGAAGCTTCCGGAGACCTTCCGCTGTCGCGGAGGCTTGAGACGAAGCCCGACGATGTGAGCGACGCTGTGATGTCGCCGGATCAGCTCTCTCTCTCTCTCTCTCTCTCTCGTCGATTTACGCGCGAAAACGCACAGCCAGATTCGATGCGCCGCGTCCTTGGCGGCCGGAAGTTGAGTCGAGCGTTGATTGCAATCAGCAGGAGTGATCATCAGCGTGGCGCTTGTCGTGTTATCGTTATCGTTATCGGGGAGAATTCGGCGGTGGGGTGGAGGGTGTGGGAGGGGGGGCGCATGGCCCTTGTTGTTTCTCGGGTGCAGCGGCGGATCGATGGCGATGGATATAAATGGGGCGCGTAGACGCGGCGTCTTTATGCGTTACTAATCCATCGCGGCGTTAATTGCATTGTTTTCGCGATTATCGTGACATTACACACATGTGCGCGACCTCGCCGCGTTAATAAGTGTCGCAAGTTACATATGATACAGCCTCGCGCGCCGGTGCTAGTAATTACATCTAATTAGCACACTGCTCCCTCTCGCCCTCTCCCCTTATTTATCGTCCCATCGCACTTCCGCTTTCTTTCTCTCTCTCTCTCTCTCTCTCTCATTCTCACCCGTAAACCTAGGCTTCTCGACATATTTACAGGGTAAACACAGATTAACAAATCTCTCCTCTCCGCCCCGTTCTCGCCACGCCCCCTCTCTCCCGTGCCCTGCGAGGGCGCGTATTCATATTCCACGTGGCTGCGCGACATCGCTCCTCGTGGATTTCCGCTGCGCCCGGCTCTCGTCCGGAAGGAAAGCAGGAGGAACAAGGTGAAGGGAAATCCAGCGGCGACTGCGGTTGTTATTTACTCCGCAAACGCGCGTGAGACGCGTCGGATCCCCCGTGGGGGGAAAATTGATTCACCGGCATCGGGAGAAGTCATGATTGTATCGCGCACAGATTTCACCCCTAGCGCAAGCCCGTTCTTCTCTCTCTCTGTCTCTCTCTCTCTCTCTCTCTCTCTCTCTCTCTCTCTCTCTCTCTCACACTCTCGTTTCCCGAAAGCTTCCAATTAAGAGCGCGAAGAGATCTCGCGAAGTAATCGACGACGATGGGAATTAAATATCGAACACTCCCGAGGAGGGAGCGATTACTCGCCGGGGTCGAGCTCGCCCCATGGGTCCGCGTTTGCGCGTGGGAGACTTTCCGTCTCGGCGGGCGTTCACAAATTAATGCTTATTGCGCGGCGACAAAAAGGAAGAAAAAGTGAGGAGGTCCCCTCGCCTCTCAGCCGATACTCGTTGGTCGACCGGCGTCTTGAGTTCGCACCGATGACTCCGATTAAGCGGAACTTCCGGAAACCTATAAATCCACGGAATCCTATCGCCGGGTTCCGATAGGAAAAACACTTGAAGCGATCTCAAATGAATGGCTCTAAATGGATTTTCAGCGAGGAAGAAGTTCAGCGCTCGCAAACTTTCGATAATGTTAGGTGTCTCGCGCTGATTACGTCGCACTACTTTCCCCGGCAAGCTTGCGTACTGTTGTGAGATCTTGTGTCTTTTTTTTTTTTAGTTTACCCAGTGCCGTAATCACTTGATCCTTTCAGCGCAAATGTTTGGAATTAAAAAACGGAGCAAGTATACTATAGCGGGTTAGATTAGGTTAGAATAAATATTCATTTGTTGTCACATAAACACGCGATCACACACAATGTAATTTGAATACCTTTCGTATTGAATTTACAGGAATCAGGTGTGAGAAGGTTTCCGAAAATTTATTCGCTGATTAATTAATTCCCCGCTGTACGCGCGAAGCCCGAAAATATCGGATGCGATTCGTCGACGGTGCTACGGCGCAGATTGCGTTGCCGATTGCACCTCGGGCGATTACATGAGCAAGCAATTACCTGCCGATTGCTCCGTCGCCCTGAAAACGACGAGGATGACGATGACGAGTAGACTCCAGGAAAGCTGTTCGCGTAATTTTTAATAAATGTGCACGCTCGGTTATGCATTTTTATACATCACGCTCCTATCGCGCTCATAATTTATCGTTGAACGCCGCGCAGCGCGGGTTTAATAATAAGCCGGTGGGAATAACAGTCCATGGAGAGGGGCGTAGGACGGTTTCGCAAATAATAATAATAATAATAGTAATAATAATAATAATAACAACAATAGTCTCCCTCGCGCGTCCGCCTTGCCGAATTAAGCGGCGTAACGACGCATTCACAAATCGTTAAACTCGAAATGGATATATATGCAATTTGTAATATTAATATTTAATATTAATCGTAATATTATCGTCGAGACGGTAAATTCTCTCCCCCTCTCTCTTTCTCCCCGTCCTGAGAGAGGGAGTATTATCACGAACTTCATCGCGCTCGAAACAATTCCGCATTCATCCCCGGATAAATAAAGCAACAATGTCAGAGGCGGTGGAAAGAGAAACGAGGAAAGGAAATATTAAATTCTCGTTAGATTTTTTCTCCCTCTCCTTCTCCGTCTCTCTCTCTCTCTCTCTCTCTCTCTCTCTCTCTCTCTCTCTCTCTCTTTCTCTTTTTCTACGTACGCTTGCTGTGTATATAAAACGAAAGAAAACACTTGACATTCATTTGCGCTCATGAAAACTGAAAAATATCCTGACGCCGCCCCTGGGAAAATTAAGGGAAAATGAAAAACGCGAAGGGGGTAAGAGTGATAGAGGGATAGAGGGCGGTGCGAGGGGTGGGAGAGGGGGATCGAAATATCGACATCGCGAAAATTGCGCGTTTCGCGGGAAATGAGATAGCGGGACATTCATTTTTGCTCGATCGGCGAAGCGGCAAAACACCGAGAGAGCGCGCCGAGATACGTATCGCATGACGCGCGAAAAATACAATATTATTGGCCCTCTCTCGCACGCGCGCACTGTGCATTTAAGGGTTAACGAGGGACGTTGCCCGCGTCGTCGTTGCGCGCAGCCGGCCATAAACTTAACTCGCGTACGCGTAGAATCGCAGGAACTCGCGGCGCGCCGCGCTTCCGCGTTCAGCCCTTTCCTCAGGAGTGTCCCTCCGCGTCTCGAGTCAACGCCCTGCTGCTATCACGGTCGATAATCTCAGCGCGTAACGTGTTACGGCATTTGCTTTAATATTCTGAATTAACGGGACGCGGAATGAAAACGCGCCGTGAAACGGCGAGTCTCGTCGGGCCGCCGCCGCCGCCGGACAACCAAGAGGACAACCGCGCGTCCTGTTAACACATCGAAGGTCGCGTCTTTAATTAAGCTGCGCGCGTGTGCGAAAAAGGATCAGCCGCGGGAGCGCACGAGTCGAGCTAAACGAACCCAATTTCAGAGTCGCGCATGGCCGACTGAGCGCGAGCCGACTGATCCTCTCAGCGAGACTTTAGTGTTTTCAAATCGTTGGCTCCTGCGCGAGAAAGGATTTAATTGAACAGAGCGATTGTGTAGGACGAACCGACACGCATCATCGTGGCGACAATCGTGGTACGGTTGTTTATTCATCGTCCGATTTACTCAGTCTCTCGGCTAAGGGCGAAAATGTGCAGTTTTGTGCAGTGTTGCGCGACGATTTTTCGGTTCGTCCGACTTTTTGGAGGAACCGCATCGCTCATTCGCTAACTACGTTTTACCGCCGATAACTTTTTATTGTCGAGACGACATTTCGCCGTTCGCCGTTGGCTGTGTCCCGGCTCCGATTGAGCTTTTATTGTTGGCCGAATTTTTAGTTGGAATTTCTACGTCGTAAACGCGTGGATTTGGCTTCCTCCCCGGTTTCGTTCCACCCCCGGTTTGTGTGACAAAAACTGCGGGACCTCGGGGCTTAGCTCCTCTTAGCCCAATTTTTTCAGCAAACGAAATATAACCAAGTGCATCGCCCTGAAGGGAAATTGCTCGCTCGACCGGCGGAAAGGCAGCGAAAGATACGAAATCGCGTTTTCCCGATCGCACCGACTTTTCCGCGTCTTCGGCTATCGAGCTGTCGGTCGAACTTCCATACAATCGGCGCGGAAATCGACGCGTTAAAGTCGCGCCGCGATCGCGTTCGGCTCGAGAGCGAAGCCATTACTCGCTTCCAATTTCGAGTTCGCATCAACGTGTATTACTTCGAATCAGCAGTGGAAACGCGCAATCCCGTCATACATCACACGTCGCCAACAGCAGCCAGCGCAGGTTACACAGAGCGGTCAGATAAAAAACGAGAGGGCGCTTTACGACGGAAAGCCGCGCGGCGACAATTAACGATCGACCTAACGCGGTCCGCCCTCTCTTTCGCTCGCCCCTCTCGCTCCCCCGTTGTACAAAGTTGCGAGTAACGCGGAAAAATTAGCGGCGCGTGCAGTCGATAGAACCGGGCAATAAGCGTTAATTGCGAGCTCGACATTCGCGTGTCGACTGGCGCGAAAATCGCCGAAACGAAGCGCTCCCGCACGCGTGGCTGCTCGATTCCGCCTCGAAATCGTATCATTGGAAAAAAAGAGAGAGAGAGAGAGAGAGAGAGAGAGAGAGAGAGATGGAAAGAAAAACAAACGGGGCGGGGGTGAAAGCGCGAACTCGCTGTTCGCGGGCGGGCCAGAGGGGAGAACCAGGAGGTGAAAAAGTGTCCGTGGCGAGGCTTGTGGCTTCTCGTGTCGGGCTACACAAATTGCGACGGCGTCTTCCAGCAGCTGGAGCAGCACGGCAGGGCGCTCTTCAGGGTGTCCTTGAAGGCGTCGCGGAAGTCGCGGTTGAAGTACGCGTAGATGAGCGGGTTCAGGGCGCTGTTGAAGTAGCCGATCCAGAAGAGCACCGAGACCACCGTGTCCGGACAGTAGCAAGTCTCGCCGCATAGGGACGTCGTCAGGTACCTGGAAGAAGCACGACACCGCGTGATTTGTTTTCGCTCTCGTTCGTCTCGCTTCACCTTTCGTACGAGGGAGTGTAGTGAAAGGTGAAACGTCGATTTCAGACGTCCCGGAGGCAAACCTTGAAGGGAATTTCAACGAGAATTGCTCGAGTCATGCACGTTACTTGTCGACGAACTGAAAATGTTAACATTTATTAAATGTTAACATTTTCAGTTCAACATTATGCGAAGGCTCTCTCGGATATTTCATTGTTCATTGAAATTAATCTGAGGCTGGTGAAAGCCGCGTGAGGGTGTTGGAAGCGCAAGTCATCTTTTTTTCTCTCTCCTTCTCAAGCTATCAATAGCTCCTAAAACCAGACTCGGCGAACAGAAGCGTTCATTAATTGACGCTCTTCTCCTGTATTCTCCTCTTGCATTTCTCCTCTTGCTGTGACTTCAGGTACGATTAAAGCGATATTCCATGCGTTTTGGATGTAATCGAAAAATCGCGTTGAAAAATTCACGTTAATTTGGAGATTCACATCGTACGAACGAAAATGTTCCATCAACATTCTTGACAAGTTATTTCAGCTAATTTTTCTTGTGTTGTTTTTTTTCCCCATTATCTTTCACGTTGCTTTTACGTCTCGTATCTAAAATTGAAACGAACGTGAATGTAAAAAAAGAGGAATGTACGTGAGCGTCGATTAATTAACGTTTCCAGTTTGTCGGCAAAACGTGGACGAGTTAATTTCATTTCAAACTTGCCGCAGACTGTCTCGGACGCAAAATTGACGGTTTGTTTTTCACCGTGTAATGATTAAATTTTTCAAATGTAAACGAAAAAACCACGATTGGCTCTTTGCTCTTGCACTTCTCTTTTCTTTTCATCTCATTTATATCGCAAGGAGTCTATGTGTAATAGAATTTGTTAAACTTTTTAACTCTCTGCGGGCTGCCAGTTACTCTCGACGTTCTTTTCCGGCTGATCTCCGAAATTCCAAGACCATGTAATTACTTACTACAAGTTGATATTATCATAGAACCCTGCGAAAGTTGATATTACGTATTATAGGCGAAGGTTGATCTTTAACCATATTTTCTTCATCGGCACGTGCTATATTCTTTGCGAGTTTCTGCCATCGTTGCCCATAATTTTCCTAATCGTCTGTTTCGCGATGACACATTTTCCGAGCCGACGAAATCGCCGTTGATTCGATTTGCAACTTTCTGATATTTTATTCAATTAGTACGACGATTATAGCACATTTCTAACAACGTATTATGTCTAGCGTTCTTCGCTCGAAATTGATGTGTAAAAAGTTGGTTTTTACAAGTTCAGGTTCGGTTTCGGAAGGAAACGCGATATCGAGGCAGATTTACTGGAGGTTGGATTCGGAGGACCGCGAGGAGTTAAAAACGGGCGTTTAAGAAATAGAGTCACGTTCATCTTGCGCTGCGATTCTCGCGAAATGTCAGTATTTCCGCGCAACGCGAAGTTATTAAATACCCGTCGCCTGACTTTTCTCCGGTTTACTACGATACTTTCGGCGGGATGGAAGGCACACACTCGCGCGGTGTCGCATCCTTCACTTCCTCCCGATATTTTTTCAGGCTCGAAGTTGATGTTTCCCTGACGCAGCGAAATAACAAGATGGAACGCACCGTTAATTAAATATATTCAGAAGTAAAGCAAGCGTAGAGGGATTGCGTATGTACGATTGCAAAAGTTGTGGGAAACGTCTCGTTTCGCAGCCGCGGTGAATTTATACTTCTGCAAACACGCAACAAGGAAGAAAGAAACGGGAGAAATGCATGGAAATGTCCACTGAGAACATGGACGAGTATACGTGTGTTTTTTTTTACATATATCACCTTTTATACATCGTGATCGTCAAATTCGTACTGATATCGTCGACGATATCAGTACGTATCGCCGTGAATTACGGGAACATCGGCCGCGTCGAGTCGCCTATATTCTCTTCCGTGACTTCTTTTCCCGGCGAATTTGCGCAACCCACGCTCGCCGATCTCGATTATTGATGTTACGCTGCTGCCGAAACGTTTCCTCGACGGATTCGGAACGTGCGGGACGCTTATTCCCAATGATTTACGATATTATCGCGTTTGCGGATCGGCTCGGGAACCGCTATAATTCGAACGAAATCGGGCTTGAAAGTTATGGCCGCACATGCGGCAATCTTCGCGTTTTTATTCGGCCGACGCGACGATTGACCATTTCTGCACATGCTGTTTTTGCTCAACTGATGCCCAAAGTCTTTTAGAGATGTCCAATCATTAATTAATTATTATGAATTTCGGGGCAAATAGCGAATAGAAATTTCTGATCCGAGGATAACGTCTTGCACCATTCTTAATGGCCAGAAATGCATTCCTGCTGATTGGTGTTTAATTACATAGTGCTACTTCAACTAATTACGTAACATTGTACCTTGTCAAGAATTAAGCCTATAAATTCCGAACCATTTTCTTCTGGGAGAAGTTTGATGAAATAGTTATTGTTAAATAAAAATCACTCAAAGCCAGCGTCGCTTTTTTACGGGATTCTCGTTGAAACATACTTCTAATAATATATGATTTATTTATTGGATTTTATTTAATAAATACTGCTTCATCAAACATCGCGAGAACATTCGGGACTTTAGATAGGCCCGTGTAATTATCGGACACCAATTTTAATGTAAACAGGCATAATATTAATATTAATGAGCATTATTATTTTCAGTAACGTAAATAGGTGTCAATTGAGAGATACTTTAATTCTTCTTGTTGTCAATTAACCCTTTAACGCCCGACTTTTTTATAAGTGTTTTAAGAGTAAAATTTGAGTTTTTTTGAACTGAGACTATAAGTAGTGATAACCAAAAAAAAATATCAGAATTTTATATTGGTGTTTTTATTGTTAGTTTTTTGTTTATTGGCAAATATGACTTGGATCCTAAAAGCATATACGAAATGAGCAACCCATACAGGGAAAAATGAAGGGTAATCTAGACGACATAACTCTGATAGTCAGCTTGACATTTTTGAGTTGAAACTTTATTATATTTGTGAGTGAAGTTTATCATTCAGAGCGTCAAGCTTACTATTTCAGAGGAATATCTTATAGATCACCATTTATATGTCATACATATATAGTCAATCGTCCCTTCATTTTTCGCCGCATAAATAACTGTAGGTCACCAGGTTTCACGAAAATAGGTTGACTTCTTGATTTCCGTGTCCGCCATATTGGATTCGCCATTTTGAATTTCTGTATTCTTTCAATTTCACATTTTGCATCTAAGAAAGCTTCCAAATGTATAAAATTATAACACATACCAATCTATTTATTTATAGTATACTTCTAGATGTCAGTAACAATGCTAAGTACGCCTACTTGAGATTTAACAAAACATGTTATCATTAAAACTGAGCTAAAAACAGACTAAACCGAATCTACATACAATCTATATACCATTTTTTAGAAGAAGAATTCACCTTTACAGTGGTGCAAAGAAAACGAAAATATCTCCTTTTTTCACTAAGTTATGTATTTTTAAATGCTGCGTTTCTGGTAACTGTAGTTACCAGTAGGCGTTAAAGGGTTAAAAAACACTTCAATTCTTCTTGTTGTCAATTAAGAAATACATTAATTCTTCTAAATCTGCTGATCGTCCACTTTTTGAACTCTCAGAATTTTTCAATTCTGTTTTCGAAAAATCTCTCTCTCTTCTTTCTCCCCGCGTGAATCCGAATATAGATAGCTGCGTCCAGATATATTTATGAGATTTGTTTCGCGCAGAGGAAACGCGCGGAGGCGGGGAAACGAGTTTTCTTTCACGGTTTTCACGTAGGCAGCGTTTCCGTTGCGCAGTCGCGCCGGCTATTTGCATATAGATGCGGCTGCATTATGCGGGTGCACTGTGAGATTTTAAATCTCACAGTGCACCCGCATGTCTCGACGCATCCCGGCCGCTTTTCTTGCGTGCGATCGACGCGAAAATGAGATTCGCGTTCTGAATTCCCGGCGCGAACGGCCGCGCGTGGCGTCGTCGATCGTCGTTTCCCTCCGCTCCGTCTCTTGCAATTTCGGGATGTGTCACTGAGCTGTAGTAAACAATCGACAGATTTGTTCGATAACAGACACGCATACACAGCCATGGTGGGATAGGACGAATGTGTAACGGACAGAACGGAATTTAATTGGCAAAACGGGTTTTATGCCACGGTCAAAAGGGAAATTTTATTTAATGGACGAAATGGAAATTTTATTTTAACGAGCAGCATGTTGCAGTTGTTCGGTTAACTCTGAAATTTTTTCGTCGTTAATTGCTGCGGGATCCCACCGGAGCAATTAACAACTGAAAATTTTCATACCGCGTTCTGCAGTCGGGGATAAGAAAAGCAGCGCTACGTCGCAAATACGACTGTTTTAAATTATTCGGGAAGGTTTAAATTGTGAAGAATACGAGAATAAAGCGGGAATTAAATTGTTCACATAAATGTGAATAACCACTTCGTCAGTTTTACTTTCGTCAATTTTACAATAACGTTGAAACTTACAAAGCGAAAGTTTCGACAGTCATTGACATTATTTTACCGCAGTTTATCGATTGTTTCGCTGAAATAAAATTGTATTCTGAATTTTCTAAAGAAACTACGTTCTCTATGAATTCATTTGTCTATTAATCTATTTTTTTTTGAGAAATTCTTGTTTAATCTTTTTCCGAAGCGAAAAGTTCGAAGACGAAATTGAAATTATTTTATTATGGTTGTCCAATGGCTTTGCTGAAGCAAAATTTTTCTGAATTTGTTGAAAAATCGGTTTTTCCGATAAATCCATTTATTTATTAATCTATTTTTTAAAGAAACTTTTACCTAATTTCTTCTCCGGGTTCTCGCGAAGAGAAAAAGGAAATATGTAATAAATTATAAATTATAACTGTATATATTTTCTTTTCCTCATTTCAACAACGAATAAAATTTCAACGACGCATCGAAATTGTTTTATTGTCG